GAGTTGAGCACTGTGGGGAGTTGAACACTGTGGGGAGCTGAACACTGTGGGGAGCTGAACACCCTAGGATGTCGAACACTAGAACACAGAATACGGAAGTGAAGGTGAAGATATAAATGAAGTAGGAAGGAAGAAAGGGGAGATGAAAAAGATAATACATCAGTAAGAGATAAGTAAAAGGATGAAGGAACGAGGAAGTAAGCCAGACTGAACGAGACCCGTCGACGCGCCGAGAGCACCAGCAGGAAGGAGAGGCAGCGAGATGAAGACTTCCTGGGAGGGCGTCTAGGTCTGACCAGACGGGGTGAACAGATGCATAAGATGAAGAGAGGATAAAGTATAGGCAGAAGGAATTAAGATAGTGCCACTGACAGGAAGAAAACGTGAATATTGGGCCTAGATATGATCCCAGACAACCACAACAAGGCAAGTAGCGTAATAATATACCAGAGGGAAGAACATAGGGAGGTGGGCGGAGGGAGGTTAGTGGTAGTTCAGGTCAGTGCCCCGGTTGTACACTGACGGACCTGAGTAAAGAACAACCAGATCAGGGAGGAGAGGCGCAGGGGGTCACTGCCAGGGGTGTTACTGCCAGGGGTGTTACTGCCAGCGGTGTTACTGCCAGGGGTGTCACTGCCAGGGGTGTCACTGCCAGGGGTGTTACTGCCAGGGGTGTCACTGCCAGGGGTGTCACTGCCAGGGGTGTCACTGCCAGGGGTGTTACTGCCAGGGGTGTTACTGCCAGCGGTGTTACTGCCAGGGGTGTCACTGCCAGGGGTGTCACTGCCAGGGGTGTTACTGCCAGGGGTGTCACTGCCAGGGGTGTCACTGCCAGGGGTGTTACTGCCAGGGGTGTTACTGCCAGGGGTGTCACTGCCAGGGGTGTCACTGCCAGGGGTGTCACTGTCAGGGGTGTCACTGCCAGGGGTGTCACTGTCAGGGGTGTCACTGCCAGGGGTGTTACTGCCAGGGGTGTTACTGCCAGGGGTGTCACTGCCAGGGGTGTCACTGCCAGGGGTGTCACTGCCAGGGGTGTCACTGTCAGGGGTGTTACTGCCAGGGGTGTCACTGCCAGGGGTGTCACTGCCAGGGGTGTCACTGCCAGGGGTGTCACTGTCAGGGGTGTCACTGCCAGGGGTGTCACTGCCAGGGGTGTCACTGTCAGGGGTGTCACTGCCATGGGTGTCACTGCCAGGGGTGTCACTGTCAGGGGTGTCACTGCCAGGGGTGTCACTGTCAGGGGTGTTACTGCCAGGGGTGTCACTGCCAGGGGTGTCACTGTCAGGGGTGTCACTGTCAGGGGTGTCACTGCCAGGGGTGTCACTATCAGGGGTGTCACTGTCAGGGGTGTCACTGCCAGGTGTGTCACTGTCAGGGGTGTTACTGCCAGGGGTGTCACTGCCAGGGGTGTCACTGCCAGGGGTGTCACTGTCAGGGGTGTCACTGTCAGGGGTGTCACTGCCAGGGGTGTCACTGTCAGGGGTGTCACTGTCAGGGGTGTCACTGCCAGGGGTGTCACTGTCAGGGGTGTTACTGCCAGGGGTGTTACTGCCAGGGGTGTCACTGTCAGGGGTCATTGTCAGGGGTCATTGGCAGGGGTAACTGTCAGGGGTCACTGCCAGGGGTGTTACTGCCAGGGGTGTCACTGCCAGGGGTGTCACTGCCAGGGGTGTCACTTCCAGGGGTGTCACTGCCAGGGGTGTCACTGCCAGGGGTGTTACTGCCAGGGGTGTCACTGCCAGGGGTGTCACTTCCAGGGGTGTCACTGCCAGGGGTGTCACTGCCAGGGGTGTTACTGCCAGGGGTGTCACTGCCAGGGGTGTCACTGCCAGGGGTGTCAAGAAATGGGTCAAGAGGGGCAACAAGCTATGAGAGCAGGCGCAAGAGAATGCTACACACGTACAGCAGGATAATGGGCTCAACCAAGCTGGAGAGGGAAGAAACTCAAGCGAAGGAAGAAACTCAGGCGAGGGAAGAAACTCAAGCGAAGGAAGAAACTCAGGCGAGGGAAGAAACTCAAGCAGAGGGAAGAAACTCAGGCGAACGAAGAAACTCAGGCGAGGGAAGAAACTCAGGCGAGGGAAGGAACTCAGGCGAGGGAAGAAACTCCAGGCGAGAGAGGTGAGTGACCAGATCAACCCTCACCAGTGCCTCCCTCAGGAACAGTATGACCCCATCAAGTGTAATGACCTAACCCCCTCCCCCCCCCCTCGGATAGAAACTGAGCCGTCCACTGGAAATCAATGTTACATAAATTCTATACACAAATGCAGACTGAATTGCAAATAAGAGTGTAGAACTGGAGGATGATGCAACATACCATTATAATTGGAAAAAAATTAACGTAAACAAGCCTGCAGTATTCCTCAATGCATCCCAGGTAGTGAGGAAAGATATGATAACAACAATCAGGGCTGAGGAGTACCTCTACTGTATACCAATATTAAAGCATACATGGGAGAATACATATTATATACAGCAAGGGTTGTATGGGTTGGTTACAATCCTAAACAAAATACAAGCAACGAGCGCTCCGAGACGTCTGCCACAGTGGCAAGGGAAACGTGCTACCTGTAGTCCGTGCTACCCGTAGCCCCGTGCTACCTGTAGCCCCGTGCTACCTGTAGCCCCGTGCTACCTGTAGCCCCGTGCTACCTGTAGTCCCGTGCCACCTGTAGCCCCGTGCCACCTGTAGCCCCGTGCTACCTGTAGCCCCGTGCTACCTCTAGCCCCGTGCTACCTGTAGCCCCGTGCTACCTGTAGCCCCGTGCTACCTCTAGCCCCGTGCTACCTGTAGCCCCGTGCTACCTGTAGCCCCGTGCCACCTGTAGCCCCGTGCCACCTGTAGCCCCGTGCCACCTGTAGCCCCGTGCTACCTGTAGCCCCGTGCTACCTGTAGCCCCGTGCTACCTGTAGCCCCGTGCTACATGTAGTCCGTGCTACCTGTAGCCCCGTGCTACCTGTAGCCCGTGCTACCTGTAGTCCGTGCTACCTGTAGCCCCGTGCTACCTGTAGCCCCGTGCTACCTGTAGCCCCGTGCTACCTGTAGCCCCGTGCTACCTGTAGCCCGTGCTACCTGTAGTCCGTGCTACCTGTAGTCCGTGCTACCTGTAGCCCCGTGCTACCTGTAGTCCGTGCTACCTGTAGCCCCGTGCTACCTGTAGTCCGTGCTACCTGTAGCCCCGTGCTACCTGTAGCCCGTGCTACCTGTAGCCCCGTGCTACCTGTAGCACGTGCTACCTAAGGTCCGTGCTACCTGTAGCCCCGTGCTACCTGTAGCCCCGTGCTACCTGTAGCCCGTGCTACCTGTAGTCCGTGCTACCTGTAGCCCCGTGCTACCTGTAGTCCGTGCTACCTGTAGCCCCGTGCTACCTGTGGCCCGTGCTACCTGTAGCCCCGTGCTACCTGTAGCACGTGCTACCTAAGGTCCGTGCTACGTGTAGCCCGTACTTCCTGTAGCCTCGTGCTACCTGTAGCCCCGTGCTACCTGTAGCCCGTGCTACCTGTAGCCCCGTGCTACCTGTAGCACGTGCTACCTAAGGTCCGTGCTACCTGTAGCCCGTGCTACCTGTAGCCCGTGCTACCTGTAGCCCCGTCCTACCTGTAGCCCGTGCTACCTGTAGCCCCGTGCTACCTGTAGCACGTGCTACCTGTGGCCCGTGCTACCTGTAGCCCGTGCTACCTGTAGCCCGTGCTACCTGTAGCCCCGTGCTACCTGTAGCCCGTACTTCCTGTAGCCTCGTGCTACCTGTATCCCGTGCTACCTGTAGCCCCGTGCTACCTGTAGCCCCGTGCTACCTGTAGCACGTGCTACCTGTAGTCCGTGCTACCTGTAGCCCCGTGCTACTTGTAGCCCCGTGCTACCTGTAGCCCCGTGCTACCTGTAGCCCCGTGCTACCTGTAGCCCGTGCTACCTGTAGCCCCGTGCTACCTGTAGCCCCGTGCTACCTGTAGCCCCGTGCTACCTGTAGCCCCGTGCTACCTGTAGTCCGTGCTTCCTGTAGCCTCGTGCTACCTGGAACTTTTTGTTCTGAATAACTGAATCTACAACAACAACGACCCTGAAAGCAGATGACAAGTCACAATAACGGGGCTGAAGGATGTTGACCAGACCACACACCAGGAGGTTAAGAGACGGCGACGGTTGGGTCCGTGGCGGACCATTACCAAGTCCATTGTGATAATCGACTTGATAATGGGTCCAGGTCGTACCGAAACGTCGTTGTCTCTTCAATTTCTAGTGTGTGGTTTAGTCAATACTTCTCCTTGTGAGCCAATTACAGACCAGCTCCTGTGCCAGGTAAGTCCACTACGGGCTCACCATAGCCCGTGCTACTTGCCACTTTTTGTTCCCAGTTGCTGACTCTAAAAACAACAATCTTGTTAGCTCAGTATTCCTGTGTCAGTGCAACTGAGTATTCCTCAAGATGTCACACTAAGGACGAAACGTCGAGCAATAAAATGGAATGATAAAGTAATCAAGTGTTTCTTCACCCCATAGATGGTTGGAGATGTGTTAATAACACACACACACATTATATATATATATATATATATATATATATATATATATATATATATATATATATATATATATATATATATATATATATATATATATATATGTGTGTGTGTGTGTGTGTGTATTCAGGAGTGACAGTATCTTAACCAGCACAACAACAGAGATAATTGCTATTGCAATTCTGGTGAGCCCTTGCAACATTAGACCTGCTATCACCACCGCTCTCAAGAATGGGGGAGTGAATGGGGAAGGGGGAGGGGGGGAGGAGGCGTAGGGAAGGGGGAGGGGAGGAGGCATGGGGAAGGGGGAGGGGGGGAGGAGGCGTGGGGAAGGGGGAGGGGAGGAGGCGTGGGGGGGGGGGGGGAGGCAGCGAGCACTTACTATGCAATGAAATCGCCAAAAGCAAGGCGGAGTTAACCTTTCAGTGTGAAGCGATGAGTGTCATTTGAGCGAGGAGAAAACACCTCGGGCGGCGGATCTAATCAAAGTTGGCCCATTCCCTTGATTGGTGCTGCCTTGGAGGCTGCTTGCTGCTGCCTTGGAGGCTGCTTGCTGCTGCCTTGGAGGCTGCTTGCTGCTGACTTGGAGGCTGCTTGCTGCTGACTTGGAGGCTGCTTGGTGCTGCCTTGGAGGCTGCTTGCTGCTGACTTGGAGGCTGCTTGCTGCTGACTTGGAGGCTGCTTGCTGCTGACTTGGAGGCTGCTTGCTGCTGACTTGGAGGCTGCTTGCTGCTGCCTTGGAGGCTGCTTGCTGCTGCCTTGGAGGCTGCTTGCTGCTGACTTGGAGGCTGCTTGGTGCTGCCTTGGAGGCTGCTTGCTGCTGACTTGGAGGCTGCTTGCTGCTGACTTGGAGGCTGCTTGCTGCTGACTTGGAGGCTGCTTGCTGCTGCCTTGGAGGCTGCTTGCTGCTGACTTGGAGGCTGCTTGCTGCTGACTTGGAGGCTGCTTGCTGCTGACTTGGAGGCTGCTTGCTGCTGACTTGGAGGCTGCTTGCTGCTGACTTGGAGGCTGCTTGCTGCTGCCTTGGAGGCTGCTTGGTGCTGCCTTGGAGGCTGCTTGCTGCTGACTTGGAGGCTGCTTGCTGCTGACTTGGAGGCTGCTTGCTGCTGACTTGGAGGCTGCTTGCTGCTGACTTGGAGGCTGCTTGCTGCTGACTTGGAGGCTGCTTGCTGCTGCCTTGGAGGCTGCTTGCTGCTGACTTGGAGGCTGCTTGCTGCTGACTTGGAGGCTGCTTGCTGCTGCCTTGGAGGCTGCTTGCTGCTGCCTTGGAGGCTGCTTGCTGCTGCCTTGGAGGCTGCTTGGTGCTGACTTGGAGGCTGCTTGCTGCTGCCTTGGAGGCTGCTTGCTGCTGACTTGGAGGCTGCTTGCTGCTGCCTTGGAGGCTGCTTGCTGCTGCCTTGGAGGCTGCTTGCTGCTGACTTGGAGGCTGCTTGCTGCTGACTTGGAGGCTGCTTGCTGCTGCCTTGGAGGCTGCTTGGTGCTGCCTTGGAGGCTGCTTGCTGCTGCCTTGGAGGCTGCTTGGTGCTGACTTGGAGGCTGCTTGCTGCTGCCTTGGAGGCTGCTTGCTGCTGCCTTGGAGGCTGCTTGGTGCTGACTTGGAGGCTGCTTGCTGCTGACTTGGAGGCTGCTTGCTGCTGCCTTGGAGGCTGCTTGGTGCTGACTTGGAGGCTGCTTGCTGCTGACTTGGAGGCTCCTTGCTGCTGACTTGGAGGCTGCTTGCTGCTGCCTTGGAGGCTGCTTGGTGCTGACTTGGAGGCTGCTTGCTGCTGCCTTGGAGGCTGCTTGGTGCTGACTTGGAGGCTGCTTGCTGCTGCCTTGGAGGCTGCTTGCTGCTGCCTTGGAGGCTGCTTGGTGGTGACTTGGAGGCTGCTTGCTGCTGACTTGGAGGCTGCTTGGTGCTGCCTTGGAGGCTGCTTGCTGCTGCCTTGGAGGCTGCTTGGTGCTGCCTTGGAGGCTGCTTGGTGCTGACTTGGAGGCTGCTTGCTGCTGACTTGGAGGCTGCTTGGTGCTGCCTTGGAGGCTGCTTGCTGCTGCCTTGGAGGCTGCTTGCTGCTGCCTTGGAGGCTGCTTGGTGCTGACTTGGAGGCTGCTTGCTGCTGACTTGGAGGCTCCTTGCTGCTGACTTGGAGGCTGCTTGGTGCTGACTTGGAGGCTGCTTGCTGCTGACTTGGAGGCTGCTTGGTGCTGACTTGGAGGCTGCTTGCTGCTGACTTGGAGGCTGCTTGGTGCTGACTTGGAGGCTGCTTGCTGCTGACTTGGAGGCTGCTTGCTGCTGACTTGGAGGCTGCTTGCTGCTGACTTGGAGGCTGCTTGCTGCTGACTTGGAGGCTGCTTGCTGCTGACTTGGAGGCTCCTTGCTGCTGACTTGGAGGCTGCTTGGTGCTGACTTGGAGGCTGCTTGGAGGCTGCTTGGTGCTGACTTGGAGGCTGCTTGGAGGCTGCTTGATGCTGACTTGGTCCTGACTTGGAGGCTGCTTGGTGTTGACTTGGTGTTGCCTTGGTGCTGACTTGGAGGCTGCTTGGTGCTGACTTGGAGGCTGCTTGGAGGCTGCTTGGTCCTGACTTGGAGGCTGCTTCGTGCTGACTTGGAGGCTGCTTGGTGCTGACTTGGAGGCTGCTTGGAGGCTGCTTGGTCCTGACTTGGAGGCTGCTTCGTGCTGACTTGGAGGCTGCTTGGTGCTGACTTGGAGGCTGCTTTCTGCTGACTTGGAGGCTGCTTGGTGCTGCCTTGGAGGCTGCTTGGTGCTGCCTTGGAGGCTGCTTGGTGCTGCCTTGGAGGCTGCCTGACCCATGACCCATGGTGGCACTCCTCGCTCTGACCCACGGTGGCACTCCCCGCCCTGACCCACGGTGGCACTCCTCACCCTGACCCACGGTGGCACTCCTCGCCCTGACCCACGGTGGCACTCCTCGCCCTGACCCACGGTGGCACTCCTCGCCCTGACCCACGGTGGCACTCCCCGCCCTGACCCACGGTGGCACTCCTCGTCCTGACCCACGGTGGCACTCCCCGCCCTGACCCACGGTGGCACTCTTCACCCTGACCCACGGTGGCACTCCCCGCCCTGACCCACGGTGGCACTCTTCACCCTGACCCACGGTGGCACTCCTCGTCCTGACCCACGGTGGCACTCCCCGCCCTGACCCACGGTGGCACTCTTCACTCTGACCCACGGTGGCACTCCCCGCCCTGACCCACGGTGGCACTCCTCGCTCTGACCCACGGTGGCACTCCCCGCCCTGACCCACGGTGGCACTCCTCGTCCTGACCCACGGTGGCACTCCTCGTCCTGACCCACGGTGGCACTCCCCGCCCTGACCCACGGTGGCACTCCTCGTCCTGACCCACGGTGGCACTCCCCGCCCTGACCCACGGTGGCACTCCTCCCCCTGACCCACGGTGGCACTCCTCGTCCTGACCCACGGTGGCACTCCTCGTCCTGACCCACGGTGGCACTCCTCACTCTGACCCACGGTGGCACTCCTCGCCCTGACCCACGGTGGCACTCCTCGCCCTGACCCACGGTGGCACTCCTCGCCCTGACCCACGGTGGCACTCCTCGCCCTGACCCACGGTGGCACTCCTCGCCCTGACCCACGGTGGCACTCCTCGCCCTGACCCACGGTGGCACTCCCCGCCCTGACCCACGGTGGCACTCCTCCCCCTGACCCACGGTGGCACTCCTCGTCCTGACCCACGGTGGCACTCCTCGTCCTGACCCACGGTGGCACTCCTCACTCTGACCCACGGTGGCACTCCTCACTCTGACCCACGGTGGCACTCCTCGCCCTGACCCACGGTGGCACTCCTCGCCCTGACCCACGGTGGCACTCCTCGCCCTGACCCACGGTGGCACTCCTCGCCCTGACCCACGGTGGCACTCCTCGCCCTGACCCACGGTGGCACTCTTCACCCTGACCCACGGTGGCACTCTTCACCCTGACCCACGGTGGCACTCTTCACCCTGACCCACGGTGGCACTCCTCACCCTGACCCACGGTGGCACTCCTCACCCTGACCCACGGTGGCACTCCTCACCCTGACCCACGGTGGCACTCCTCACCCTGACCCACGGTGGCACTCCTCACCCTGACCCACGGTGGCACTCCTCGTCCTGACCCACGGTGGCACTCCTCGTCCTGACCCACGGTGGCACTCCCCGCCCTGACCCACGGTGGCACTCCCCGCCCTGACCCACGGTGGCACTCCTCGCTTTGACCCACGGTGGCACTCCTAGTCATGACCCACGGTGGCACTCCTCGTCCTGACCCACGGTGGCACTCCTCGTCCTGACCCACGGTGGCACTCCCCGCCCTGACCCACGGTGGCACTCCTCGTCCTGACCCACGGTGGCACTCCTCGTCCTGACCCACAGTGGCACTCCCCGCCCTGACCCACGGTGGCACTCCCCGCCCTGACCCATGGTGGCACTCCCCGCCCTGACCCACGGTGGCACTCTTCACCCTGACCCACGGTGGCACTCCCCGCCCTGACCCATGGTGGCACTCCCCGCCCTGACCCACGGTGGCACTCTTCACTCTGACCCACGGTGGCACTCCCCGCCCTGACCCATGGTGGCACTCTTCACCCTGACCCACGGTGGCACTCCTCGCCCTGACCCACGGTGGCACTCTTCACCCTGACCCACGGTGGCACTCCCCGCCCTGACCCACGGTGGCACTCTTCACCCTGACCCACGATGGCACTCTTCACTCTGATCCACGGTGGCACTCCCCACCTTGACCCACCGTGGCACTCCTCGCCCTGACCCACGGTGGCACTCCCCACCCTGACCCACGGTGGCACTCCTCACTCTGACCCACGGTGGCACTCCTCACTCTGACCCACGGTGGCACTCCTCACTCTGACCCACGGTGGCACTCCTCACCCTGACCCACGGTGGCACTCCTCGCTGTGATTACACTGGATCTGATTCAGTTGAACTCTAGAAATCACTTGTTACATAATTCTTGTAGTGTGGCCAGGTCACCTCCACCGTCTCACAGACCTGCTCGATGGACCTTCCTCACACAACCTTCAAATACATCAGAATGTATGATACTGTATGAGTATGATGTATGAAGGGCTCCAGAACCCTCTTTAGCAAGAACTTGTCACTGTCAAGTGTCTTACTCTCTCTCTCTGCCTTCTGGAGTCCAACACCTGTTATCTGTCTGTCTGTCTGTCCGTCTGTCCAAGTAATCTTATTGGGGGAATTGTGACAATGGCTTCCTGATAGTCCAAGAATGTGTAGCCTACCCACCGTAGTCTTGTCTGATTAAGTATGTCTTCTTTTTTGAAAGTTTCTCAGGGTTGTGAGGCAAGAGTGCATGTCCTTCAACCCGTGATGTACCTCTAGAGGTGTTCTCGTGGCCTCTTTCGCACCATCTTCTCCTTCCTCTCTCCTTTTCAGTCGTTGGTTGTCTTCAAACTTTCTGGTAGTTCCCAGGGACTTGTGTGTCTTTCTCAGTAGCAAGCGCAAGGACGCTAACCTTGACGTCGCTACCATTGGGCCGTGTCTGTCAAGGTGTGCTGTCAGCACTGTGTCGTCACCGTCAAGGTGTGCTGTCACCACTGTCCGTCACCGTCAAGGTGTGCTGTCACCACTGTGTCGTCACCGTCAAGGTGTGCTGTCACCACCGTCAAGGTGTGCTGTCAGCACTGTGTCGTCACCGTCAAGGTGTGTGTCTGTCAGCACTGTGTCGTCACCGTCAAGGTGTACTGTCACTACTGTGCCGTCACCGTCAAGGTGTGCTGTCAGCACTGTGTCGTCACCGTCAAGGTGTGCTGTCAGCACTGTGTCGTCACCGTCAAGGTGTGCTGTGACCACTGTGCCGTCACCGTCAAGGTGTGCTGTCAGCACTGTGTCGTCACCGTCAAGGTGTACTGTCACTACTGTGCCGTCACCGTCAAGGTGTGCTGTCACCACTGTGCCGTCACCGTCAAGGTGTGCTGTCACCACTGTGCCGTCACCGTCAAGGTGTGCTGTCACCACTGTGCCGTCACCGTCAAGGTGTGCTGTCAGCACTGTGTCGTCACCGTCAAGGTGTACTGTCACTACTGTGCCGTCACCGTCAAGGTGTGCTGTCAGCACTGTGTCGTCACCGTCAAGGTGTGCTGTCAGCACTGTGTCGTCACCGTCAAGGTGTGCTGTGACCACTGTGCCGTCACCGTCAAGGTGTGCTGTCAGCACTGTGTCGTCACCGTCAAGGTGTACTGTCACTACTGTGCCGTCACCGTCAAGGTGTGCTGTCAGCACTGTGTCGTCACCGTCAAGGTGTGCTGTCACCACTGTGTCGTCAACGTCAAGGTGTGCTGTGACCACTGTGCCGTCACCGTCAAGGTGTGCTGTCACCACTGTGCCGTCACCGTCAAGGTGTGCTGTCACCACTGTGTCGTCACCGTCAAGGTGTGCTGTCAGCACTGTGTCGTCACCGTCAAGGTGTGCTGTCACCACTGTGCCGTCACCGTCAAGGTGTGCTGTCAGCACTGTGTCGTCACCGTCAAGGTGTGCTGTCAGCACTGTGTCGTCACCGTCAAGGTGTGCTGTCACCACTGTGTCGTCACCGTCAAGGTGTGCTGTCACCACTGTGTCGTCACCGTCAAGGTGTGCTGTGACCACTGTGCCGTCACCGTCAAGGTGTGCTGTCACCACTGTGCCGTCACCGTCAAGGTGTGCTGTCACCACTGTGTCGTCACCGTCAAGGTGTGCTGTGACCACTGTGCCGTCACCGTCAAGGTGTGCTGTCACCACTGTGCCGTCACCGTCAAGGTGTGCTGTCACCACTGTGTCGTCACCGTCAAGGTGTGCTGTCACCACTGTGCCGTCACCGTCAAGGTGTGCTGTCAGCACTGTGTCGTCACCGTCAAGGTGTGCTGTCAGCACTGTGTCGTCACCGTCAAGGTGTGCTGTCAGCACTGTGTCGTCACCGTCAAGGTGTGCTGTGACTACTGTGCCGTCACCGTCAAGGTGTGCTGTGACCACTGTGCCGTCACCGTCAAGGTGTGCTGTGACCACTGTGCCGTCACCGTCAAGGTGTGCTGTCACCACTGTGTCGTCACCGTCAAGGTGTGCTGTCACCACTGTGTCGTCACCGTCAAGGTGTGCTGTCACCACTGTGCCGTCACCGTCAAGGTGTGCTGTCACCACTGTGCCGTCACCGTCAAGGTGTGCTGTCACCACTGTGTCGTCACCGTCAAGGTGTGCTGTCACCACTGTGTCGTCACCGTCAAGGTGTGCTGTCACCACTGTGCCGTCACCGTCAAGGTGTGCTGTCACCACTGTGCCGTCACCGTCAAGGTGTGCTGTGACCACTGTGTCGTCACCGTCAAGGTGTGCTGTGACTACTGTGCCGTCACCGTCAAGGTGTGCTGTCACCACTGTGTCGTCACCGTCAAGGTGTGCTGTCAGCACTGTGTCGTCACCGTCAAGGTGTGCTGTGACCACTTTGCCGTCACCGTCAAGGTGTGCTTTGACCACTTTGCCGTCACCGTCAAGGTGTGCTGTCACCACTGTGCCGTCACCGTCAAGGTGTGCTGTCACCACTGTGCCGTCACCGTCAAGGTGTGCTGTCACCACTGTGCCGTCACCGTCAAGGTGTGCTGTCACCACTGTGCCGTCACCGTCAAGGTGTGCTGTCACCACTGTGCCGTCACCGTCAAGGTGTGCTGTCACCACTGTGTCGTCACCGTCAAGGTGTGCTGTGACTACTGTGCCGTCACCGTCAAGGTGTGCTGTCACCGTCAAGGTGTGCTGTCACCACTGTGCCGTCACCGTCAAGGTGTGCTGTCACCACTGTGCCGTCACCGTCAAGGTGTGCTATCACCACTGTGCCGTCACCGTCAAGGTGTGCTGTCACCACTGTGCCGTCACCGTCAAGGTGTGCTGTGACTACTGTGCCGTCACTGTCAAGGTGTGCTGTGACCACTGTGCCGTCACTGTCAAGGTGTGCCATCACCGTCAAGGTGTGCTGTCACCACTGTGCCATCACCGTCAAGGTGTGCTGTCACCACTGTGCCATCACCGTCAAGGTGTGCTGTCACCACTGTTGTCGGAAAATCCGACACCATTTAATAATCATACAGATAATAGCTGTATTGTATAAACAAGTTACCCATAGAAAACGTAACTTGTAGTGGAATTACCATCTAAAGAAAACGGGATATCATCACCACATACTATTATATTCACCAGCTATTCTGCTGGGAATTATTCTTAAATACATTAGTCTTTGGACTTTACCATCATTAAACATCTCATATAAATTAACTTAATTATCAGTATTAAAGTAGAGTAAATGTGACCCTTCTATCACTTGCTGACATCTGGACAATGTAAGCCAGGCGTCAGGCAGGGTGAGGGAGGGCAGCCATTGTTTGTTCTAGATCAGAGGCGCAGGGAGCAATTCGGCTCCTGTTAATTTTACTTGGACGAAGTGTTATGGAAACCAAAGGTGTACCATTATCACATGCTGTCAACAAATTCAAGTTAAGTGTTCTTTCCGAAACCCATGTATCTTTCATTTATGGCCATTAATGTCATTATATAGGGTGACCCGGTTAGAGCACGTGGTAGCCTCAAACTAAAGGTAATTAAGCCAGGTCTTTAAGGTTCCATGTACAGTGTTTACTCTGATATAGCTTGTCATATATAGGTATCTGGCTTTACAGCTAGCGCCCTTTTGACAGGTCAAGACGAAAAAGCATGCTTTGTACATCAGTTACCAGGGTGATGGAAGCTACCTCAAAGAGGATAATTTGGTGTCTACACCCTAGTTATACCTGGTGGACTAACCTGCTGTACTATAAGATAAGGAACCTTTTCAATGTATGTAGTTAATACTGTAGTTTGATTGGCTGCATATATATAAATTAAATTAATATAAACCCCCCTAATGTGTAGAGGATCGATTTGTGAGATTATGAGATTATTGCAGAAATACAGTCCACTTATCATTATACAAATTGCTATCGAAGTATATAAATTAACGTAAATATAAATTCATATAAATTAAATAAATATAAATCTCACAGGTCGGTTCCCACATTATTTGGTCCTTCGAACCGGATTATTCGGTCCTTTGAACCCACATTTGGTCATCTTAGTACCGGATGAACCAGTTAACCAGTGGATTCATTAAATAAACTAGTGCAGTGTGATTTAAACAAAGGCCAGCCAGTCAAAGACAGCGGCGTTGCCTCGTGGGAGCTCAGGAGCCCCCTCTTAACTGAGTTCAGCTTC